CCTCCACTCTGTCTGATATCTTTATGCACAGATCACTTAGAAACTCCTTGAAATGGACAGGAGTCCATCTGTTCTCGCATGCACCAACTGATAAATAATACAGCAACAACTACTGCAGAAAGTGGGCCAGTGATCTTATCAGATTTTCCAATATTTTCCCCTACTAGGCAACGGTAACCAGGTATAATCTCTTGTATTGCTTAAAGCTCTGAGGATCTGGGACTTATCAGAGGAAAAAAGGACCCAAAAGGGGAGAAAGAATATTTTCTAGTAAACCAAATAGGAGTTTGGAGTCAGAATATTTTATTTTTTTAATTTATTTTTTATTGAGATACAATTGACATATAACATTATGTTAGTTTTGTATTTCTCAGAATATTTTAAATAGTAAAAGAAATATACCACGGGGTGATGAAGGCTATATCCAACAGATAATGATATGTCCCCCAATAATGGGTCTGTGATTAAAGGAGCAAGACTGATATAAAGTGAAGGTCAAGCAAAGCTTTATTTCGCACCAAGCATCAGGAATCAAACCGAACGTTCAGGGACGCACCTCTTACAAGAGAGGGCAACCTTTCTCTGTTTCACAGACTAGTTATTAAGGGCAAAGGCCATGTGGTTGGGCCTGGCCACGCACAGGTGGCCAATGACATTGTAACACACAGAGGAAACTCCACAGTCATGTTAGGTCACACATAAGTGACCAATTGAATTACAATTTACCCTATAGTAGACATTTGACCTAGCCTATCACCTTGGTTAGAATTGGCGCCCACGGGGCGCCTGGGTGGCTCAGTGGGTTAAGCCTCTGCCTTCGGCTCAGGTCATGGTCTCAGGGTCCTGGGATCAAGCCCCGCATCGGGCTCTCTGCTCAGCAGGGAGCCTGCTTCCCCCTCTCTCTCTGCCTGCCTCTCCGCCTACTTGTGATCTCTCTCTATCAAATAAATAAATAAAAATCTTAAAAAAAAAAAAAGAATTGGTGCCCAAAAGGCTCCCAAAGGGCGGGGCCCATACTCCTTGGTAGCTAGGGAGACAGTATGCAACCCCCCACTGATCGGTGTCTCTCCCTGGCCTGACCCACCCTTGTATCTGGGCTTTGTTACCTGGGGCTGGTTTCCGGGACTTGTTTTTAAGTAAGTCCCCTGGGGGAAGGGGAGCAGGGACAGTTTAAGGGTTAAACAACAAAGTTATTGTTTAACCTTGATGGAAGCCTCTGGCTAAATAGGTCCTTATAATAATAGATGAAAAGAGAGAGAAATATGGATACCAATAAAGAGATAAAAATAAGTAGTACATATGCATGTATATTATATGTGATACAATAAGTTAATATATTATAATAATATATACCAAGCACGTATATATCTGTGTCTATGTGTATAGCTGTAATCTTAACCCATGCTACTAACAGTGATTATCTCTATGGCTAATTTTTAACCTATATAGGTACATTTTTCAATAATGAAAAACACTGATTATTAGCAAGAAATACATGCCAATTATTTCTCATTTTGAAAAGAATTCTCTCATCCCAGAAGAATTTTCTTTCTGAGGTTGTTAACCCTTCATAGGTATGTCTGTGCAAGTGAGCATGAATGTGTAGAAGGCTAGTCAACTCAGCTATATGCCACTTGCCTTTTGCAGGGGAAGTGATTATTTTTAGTGATGGCATGTGAGTTTCTGTTATTTTATATGAGTCATTATTACTGATACAGTTTATCTAGTAATTAACAAAAAATTAAATTCTACACTTTCCTTACTACCTCAACCCTGTCTTGTTTCAGTCAACACATGTGGTTAATTCAACTTGTCAGTTTTGAATTTTTCTTTTGTTGATATGTGAGACCACCAAACAGTTTCCCATTCTAGGGTCCTTATGGGGTAAAAAGAAAAAAAGTCAAAATACAGTGTGCTTTCCCTCAGAATGTCTCTCATTTAGATACAGACCTCAAAAGAGCAGGAAAAAAAGGGGAATTTTTCCAAGACATTCTGTTTAGTAGAATTAATTTAGGGACACAAAATATAGAAAGAATTAATACTTCCTGTCCCAAAATAAAATTGCAGATTCCTTCTGCAAATTGCAAGAGATTAATTTCTCTAGGAATCCCATATAATCTCATTTCACAGAGCTGAATTTTTTTTTGTTGCTCAAAAGAAATGTTTGAGGTGACTGTTTTGCTTTGTGTATGGGGTAAAGGGGGCAGCAGGGGGTAGCAGTTACTTCATGCAATTCTGTACAACATGGAGCACAAGAAAAGGGCAGTCGAGAATAAGGGAGAAAGCCCCATACATCTGACTCCTCTCCTTTTCTCCACAGGTGCAAATATGCCACCTGCCCACAGTTCTTGGACTGCTGTGGTCAGGGATGTGCAAATAATGAGGTTTGGAGGGAAGGGTTAAGGATTGTGCAAGACCATCTCTGAAATATCTGCTTGGTAGTTTAAGATCCATATTTAAACCACTAAATACTGCTGTTGGGATTACTCAGATCAGCTGTCAGAGCCAAATTTCGAGATTTGTAGGGACTCATTTGTGCCTCAGTGTCCTCGTTTGTAAAATGAGAATAACCGAGTCTTTGTGGGAATAAAATGGGATAATTCATAAAAAATATGTATCGTAGTATAGAGCATATAATGCTCACCTAATAGGAGCTATTGTTATTATTAAGAGCCTCTTGGGCATTGTGCAGGTGAGGTACATAAAGGAGGGCCCATAGAAAAAGGAAGGGGATCAGATAAAACCTGGAGATAGAACCAAATGAGAAGAATAATTTCATTTGCTGTCTGAAAAACATACCTGAAATTTACATTTGCAAAGAGAAAAGAGGACATTTATACCTTTGGACATTTCTACAGTCAGAGTTCCCATATTCACACCGCACCTTTTTGAATGAAATTTCTTCTTAGCCCCAGAAAAGTCTAAACCTCAAAGAACCACTTCAGGCTCAATACTGGTCACTTCCTACAGAAGTGGAAGCCAGGCTTAACATCCCAAGAACTAGAGAATTCTCTTTATTGAGGGAGCTGCCAGGGGAGCGAGAGGGGTTGTATTATAATTAGTATAGTAAATACTATTGTGGTAAAGGAATTGACATGAGCTCAATGATGAAGGCTGACTAGGAGTTCATCAATTAAATGAAGGACCCTTGGGGTGGGAATGATTGGAGGGGTGTTCAGGAAGACAGAGTTGTGGGAACAAAAGCAGACGGCATGAAAGAACATTAGGCCTTAAAAAAGCAGTAAGTCCTTTGGGGATGCTTGAACACAGAGTGTAAGAGAGAGATGGCAGAGAGAGAAAAAGCCGGGGAGGCTAGGAAGGATCAGATCTCTTATGATCTTGCTGATAGACAATCTGGACTTCCTTTTCATAATTAATAAGAAATTATGGTTGAAGACTCAAGAGACAGAGACTTAGAAGAGTGCATGAAGAAACCAGATAAGGAATGATGGGGACCGAGATGAAAAAGTATCAGTAGGGACTTTAAGGACGATACAGATACAATAAAAGGTGAGAATCTATACTTGGGAGTAGTCAAAATAAAAAAAAAAAAGAGAGAGAGAGAGAGAGAAGTACAAGGCACCTAGGTGGCTCAGTCAGTGAAGTATCCAGTTCTAGATTTCAGCTCAGGTCATGATCTCAGGGTTGTGAGATTGAGATCCGCATCGGGCTCCATGCTCAGTGTGGAGTCTGCTTGGGATTTTCTCCCTCTCCCTCTGGCCCTCCTCCCCACTCTCTCCTTCTCAAATAAATAAATATTTTTTTAAAACAAAAAGTAAGTACATATCATCTTTCGATTAAAGATTTTATTTATATGTAATGTTTTAAAAAATTATTTAAAATATGCAGTTAGAGTCGGTTACACATTTAGCTATTTATTTTGTTGATAATAATAGATTACACGAAAGTAGGCATTTCCCAGAAAGTGGGGTGAGAGAATGCTTTAATCTATAGCCCTGGAACCTGGCAGACACATGAAGTCTTTGAAACTCTGTGTCTACCTCAGAGGTCAGCGTTGGTCTAAAAAGGTGCTAGACAACCTGGTATAATGTGAGGCTGGTACTGAATGAAATGTCTAACTTTTAAAATTAGGACTCATACTCTTAAGTAAACTGTAGGTAACTCAGTCAGTTTTAGGTACTTCTCTGACAGGAGTTCTAATAGTGTGGAAAAGGAGATCCATGGACCAGAGATTGATTTAAGAGAGTGTCACACAATCCTATAAAATCTGGAAGAAATAGAAGCCGTAGGTGTATGTTCAGACCACCCCACGCCCTCTACCTTCAAAGACACATCGCACTGCCCTGACAGGTAGGTTTTTGTGTGTGACACCAAACTTATCACTTGCTAGATCTCTGTCTCCCTGGGTATCAAAACCCCATTCTGGCATAACTTTTTCCCATGCCTGGTAAAGGTTGATTACAAACTAATGAGTTAAAGAAGCCCTCCAGATATTTCGGGAAGCCACCCAGAACCAAAGCATCAATAATAAAAGACGAGTCAACTTCCTATATATCAAAGCACCAAAAGGTCAAGGATGTAAAAAGTGACCTTTACATTTTATAACACGACACGGTGTTTAGTTATTGTCTTCAAAAAATTGTCAGAGAACATAGAAATCTTCAAACAATAGTTAAAATGGATAGAAAGTTCTAAAGAGCATATATTCAGAGTTTAGTGAACACTCAAATATTTGTTAATCTCAAATCTATGTTATTATATATTCTACTTCCTCTAACCATAAAAATAAGGTAAATGCAGGAGTACAGGTGATCTAATCTACATTCCTAGCTCTACTCGATGTGTAGCTATATGTTAAATATCAGCCTGTGCTCAAATAAAATGTAAATGGTTATTATTTATAGTATTTTTAAAGTAAAAGGCATATGTTTAGAGACTGAATAATCTACTGTAGTGTACTTGACTTAGAAATGCTCATGTTTCTTAGCATGATGTCTTGTAAATAATGCAATGAGTTAAAAAAAAAAACCTGGCTTCAGTTCGAGAGGAAAGCCTGATGAAAATGAATATAAAAACCAACAATAACAACAACCAACTTCAGCGTCTGTCAAGGAGAAATCTGAAACCCCAAATCACCAGTCACAATTTGCTATTACTTATCATTGGAGAGAACTCCTGAGTGACTTCGAGGTCATGGTTCTGTCCTCCCAATGACACTATTGTTACCCAGAAACTGAAGGAAACAGGCCATTCCTGAAAGTCACTGGGTGACACTTGAGGTCCATTTGGCTTTCTGTTCTATAAGAGTGAGAAGAGATTGCATGAAGGGAGAAACTTACTCCTTGACTAAAGGCACTGAATGATCATTCAGGGGGCCCTCGAACCAAGTAGCCATGTTGCGAACATGCATTCCACTCTGGTGTTTAAGACACAAAGGTCTCCATTTCTCTAAGGGAGCTGTTTTTTCGGCACGACACACTCTCTCGCTTGCCTTGGAGCCAAGTAATTGGAACCCTAAACACACGGCGGAGCTTCTGTTGGAACCGGTTACCAACAAAACAATACAGAAAGGGATTAATGCAGCTGTTGGTGAATCCCAGGAGGATGGCAAAAGGAAGTGCCAGGTCAATGACTGCTATAACTTCACAGCTATTAATGACACCCATCCAGGCCAGAGCATCCAGGAAGGTCAGAACGTGGAAGGGGAGCCAACAGATGATGAACGCGAGGACAACAGCAGCTGCCATCTTCAGGACCTGATCACGAGTTATTCTGTTCTTCCCATAGCTATTGGTCTTCAGTAAGTGTTTTCTGATTCCGAAATAGCATGTGGCTATGAATATTAAAGGGATAATAAAACCAAGGATATTTTTCATTAAGGCAATCCCAGCTGACCATTGGGCATATTTCTCGGGGGGGAAGGCCATAATGCAGGCATTCACTCCCAAATACTCAATGGTTCGGACATCTCGGAAATAGAATGTTGGCAATGAGGACAGACAGGCCATACACCAAACAAGGGGAACAATATAAGACGCTTGCCAGGGATTTCTTCTCTGAGACAGAAAGGGATAGATGACAGACTGGTACCTATCAACGCTCATGCAGGTGATAAAAAAAATGCTTGCAAACATGTTCAGGGTCAGGAAAGAACCAAACACTTTGCACATCACAGGTCCAAAGAGCCAGTCATATCTGTAAGAGTAATAGGTGGCCCAGAGAGGAAGAGTGGCCAACAGCAGCAAGTCAGCCACAGCCAGGTTGAAGATGTAAATGCTTGACACCTTTTTGGGACCCTTTTGACAACAGAACAGCGTAACCACAATAGTATTGACAAGAAATCCAATCACAAAAATAATATAGTAGAGGATAGGAATTGCATCTAAATGCTTATCTGATGGCTTATGCGAACAGTTAAAGGTCGACTCATTGCCGATGAAGTTCACGAGTCCGAAGTGAAGGCTGTTGGTAATGTTTTTGCTGATGGTGGCAAGGGTGACGTTGTTCTTCATACTGCAAGCTCGGTGGCTCCCACTTCTTATGCCTTCTGTGAAAATTAAAAAAAAAAAAATGGAACTCCCAGAATACATACAGAGTGTAGGACATTTTGAAATCATTAGCATTTTGAAAGTTTGTTGAAAGCAAAAAAAAAAAAAAAGGAAAAGGTGAGTGATTATAGGAAAACACTGGGAAGCACAGCTATGCCTTGTGAAATAAGAGAGGATTTTTGCTTTTTGAAGAAGAAAAGGGAATTTCCTCAACAGTACCAAGCAGGTAAGACCTTTCAGCCTCAGGGACTGAAAATGCTAGACAAAACTCTCTTTTGCCCATCGTTTCTATCATATTTTCAAAAGCCTTCAAGAAAATCAATAGTTCAAAAGTTTAGCGTGGGTAAGAAATAGGGGAAACAAATGAGAAGGAGTCAAGAAAGAGGAAAAGTTACTATTTCAAAAACACCTCAGCCCATCTCTCAGGCTGCATACTTTCTAGAAACCACATTGCTGTCCGTTGTTGCATAGAGAAATGCCTTATTTCAAGTAACTAATTATGTACAAATCATTACAGCTATGGAAAATATAAGTAACATAAGCTATGGAAAAAATAAGTAAGTGCACAAAAGACTGCACGAGAATATGCAAAAGGAACATATTGAGATGGGGGGTAGGGCTGGTTTTTTACTAATTTAACCCGAATTCCTTTACTTCTATTTTTCCATTGTTTCCACAATAATAACATCATTAGCAGGGAGCTCTGGAGTAGGTACATATTTCTAAAAGCCCCCTGTTCGCATTTTAATAGAGACCACTAGTTTTCGATCTAGATGTTTAATCTGCTTAAAAGGAAATCCATTTTCTTTTTCAATTAGGAAAAGAACAAGAAAAAAAATAGCCAAATCTGATTTAGAGTCAAGCAGAAATAGTTTTGATTGCTCAGTGAAATAAGAATTGAACGTCAATGATGAATCATGAGCTAATTGTATCATTTTCCTTTGCTATCATTTCACTTTTAACACAACAAAATAGTAACAGTGCTCTATGGCTCTCAAATGTTATAATCAGGGCGCAGGTTTTTGTGATACTGGGTTTGGTTTGGTTTGGTTTGGTTTTTAGGAGCAGCATTACTTTAAGACAAAAGAAAATTAGCTGGAAATAAACACAGTAAAGGGAAGACTATTACTTTTGATAGTTTCAAAATACATAGAAACGACTCAATGAACAGCACAATCACCAAAGAATCTCCTAGTAAACAGCAAAGTTATCATTTTTGTCTAAAGTGCATTCTCTCATCATCTTGACCTAACAAAGTATCATGAAAGAATCTCAAATAAACCCGCTCGAAGACTTACTGGTCGTTGGAGTTTAAAACTTAGTTATCATAAATCAGCTTGCCCAGTTCCTAAGCGCACTCCTGTAAGAGAAACAGCAGTGAAAGAATTTAGGAGTTTTGTAAAATACAGTGTGAAAATACAGGAAAAAAGGGAAAGTTCATCCGTAAAAAAGCACTTTCACTTAATGTATGTTCTACACTCCAAATACAGTACATAGAAATTGTGCAGACCTACCTTAAAAATTCAGGCTGAAGAATGCTTTTAATTCTGTGCTTATTCGTTCCCTTAGACTCAGGGACGTAATAGCACTAGATCTCTGGTTTCCTTCTTATATGTTCGGTCTGTCCACTGGGAGCCTTCAACCTACATAATTCTAGGGCTGACTTATGAACACTTGCCAGCTTTCCAGAGAGGTTTTTTTTTTTTTTTGGCTGCAAAACATTAATCTGAAATTCTCACTGTCTCCAATCATAACAGCTCATTCAAATAAATCTCAAACAAAAAAAATGAAGTTTCCACAAATGTGTTAGAGAATTTTGAAATCAGTGGCTTACTTTAAAAGAAGAATATAATTATTTGCAGAATTTTCTCTTTCTTTTTCCCTGATACTGACATTCTAAGGCGAGTTAAGGAGTGGAGAATAGAGAATTTATTCTAGTAGCAGCGACCTTTGTCCACCAATGTCTGTTTTCACCTTCATTACTTTTTGAGATTTTTACCTCTATTCGTTAAAGTACAGTAGCGACTTTACTCGAAGTATGAACTTTCTAAAACTTCTCCCTTGCTTCAAGCAATTTTTGTTGGCTGGAGAGGTGGTGATAGGAGGGATATAATTTTCATGTCTTCGAAAAGAGGTATTAGCAAATAGTGCCTCCTTTCATAGGTCCCTGTCCTGTTTGAGATTTATACACAAAGCCCACAAAGGTGAAGAAGGTTCAGGCAACCACCACGGCTCAGATCACTGTTGGTTTTTCTTTCTTTCTTATTTTTTTTTTTTTTTTGGTGGGGGTGACCAACCTTATAGATCATTCCCATAGGAGCAAGTGTGACAAAAGAAAGATCAGAAATGGGGACGGCAGTGAGACTAACAGCCAACAATAAACTCTAAGTGCCAAACACCGTGCTGAGTGTTCAGTAATTTCAGAGAGAGCCAATGAAATGTACTGGCCTGTACAAGGCCTTCAGGATACAAATGCCAGACTCCACAAGCTCAGCTGTACCCACTTCCTTAGCCTGGGACCTTGGCCAAGTTCCTTTCCTTCTCCATGTCTGTTTTTCTCATCTGAGAAATGGGGATGATGTTAATTACCTAAATCACAGAGTTTTGAAAATTAAATGAGCTAATACATTGAAGGTGCCTGCAACCATGCTTCCCATATGGTAGATGCCATTATAAATTCTTGCTATTACTTCCATTATCCAAATCGGGAAGCTAGGGCTCACTGAGGATAAATGACTTCCCTGAGGTCACCTAGCTATTAAATGGAGGACATCTGAATTTTAACGGACACAATCTCATGACAAAGTCCATGCTCTTAACCTCCACGTTAACGGAAGAAGCCCTCACTGGCCCTTTCCTCTCGTTCTTTGTCCTGGCAAAAAGAAAGCATGTGACATTTACAAAAAGCCACAGCCGATCATTCACACGCTGTCACAAAAACACTAAAGGAGGGGGAAAGAGTTTGAAGGATTGTTATGTGGGAGAACAGATTTTCCTTAATTTCATTCCCCGTATTGCAGTCAGTCCTGTGGCACGTGGGACCGGAAAGAAGAGGTCAACCCTTGCCTGAAAAATATAGTAGGATTCGAAGGTTTGCACACCACCGCACTTGTTGATTCTTTCGGTTAGACTGAGTTTGCACATTGAGGAAATGCTCCTAAAATACATACATACCACTGCGTCACATTTAAAAATATTTTTTTCTTATGCTCTGGACAGACTCAGGTGAAGGTTCTGTCCAGATGATGGAGCGCTGATGTCTGGGAAACGAAGGAGCGGGCACATATGGTTATCGGCAGGAGAGATGCAACAGGAACTGGTTTCACTCTTTGTTTGAGCCTAGTTTCTCCCTCCATTTCTAATGTTTGTTTTTGCCACATACAGGGGAATTTTCCAGGCCAGAGCCCCCTGAGTGGTCACGATGGGTCAGATTCCCACCCTGCTCTATTTCTAGCCCCCTCTCTGGCCGGTTGCAAAGAAACAGCCAGGAGGTAAGCTATAAACGTTTGAGAACAAACTGCAGGCTCGCCTCTGGGAGACCTAGCCTTGAACACCCCCGAGGAGCAGGGGACCTTGTCTAGAGCTTTTGTCCTTCATTACAGTAAGTTCTGACGTAAATAAAGTTTAAAGAGGCACACATTTCCCAGAAGATTAAAAGAACATTTACTCGGCTTCCTCATAATTTTAGAAGCAAAAATTTTCACAACTCAAAGAAAAACTTTGTAACTGCAGGGAATGAAGGGAAAAAGTTTTTTTTTAAAGAAATAACAATAATATTGACACCACTTGAAGCAAGAAATACAGCATATTATTGATTCGGCAAAGAACTCCGAGTTTAGCCGACAATGTAAATACACTTGCAAGTCAAATAAATGTCAGTCATAGGAAAGCCGTACAATGCAAAAAAATTCACTCTCCTGGGGACAGGGGGTAATTTTTCTGCTGGAAGATTGACTTTAAAAGCCCCAGGTCATTTGAATAAATTATGCAGCTCTTCAGGGCAAGTGCGGCTTGGCTAGCAGAATTAAACAATGGTAAATCACTTTAATTTTTTTCTAGTGAATACCTATTATTTATCATGAGATTACTTAACAGTAAAATTTAAACAACCAGGTTTAAAAAAAAAAACAAAAAAGATGTTCTTGAAAGGACTTTCTCCTCTGCTAGAAGGACACAGGGTTCAGAAAAAAAAACTCTGATTTGTCTCTCTCACGCCCACTCATACACACAGATGAGGCTTTGAAGGAGAACAGGAATTACTAAATGCTAAAGTCGGGATATAATGCCCTGGTTCTAAAGGTGAGGATTAGAAATGCAGATTATGGAATAATTAAATGTGTGGGGACCATCTTTTTCAGCTTGTGTTTTTTAAGGTCATTTATATTCCCCCACCGCAGCCACCTGAGTCCCTATCCAGACCAATAGCATTTCCATTTCTACCAAGTTCTATAAACATGCATGTGCACATGAGCCACACGCACACACACATGCATACACACAGAAAGATACCCACATACATACTTAACACCAATCTTTTTCAATTCACTTACCCATAAGGGAGCTTTACTTTAATTGCCACTGTATTTTTCCAGACCTGTATATCCCTGAAAGGAGGATAGTTAAGAAGATTGCTCATTATTGATATGTCTTTCCAGATTCTCTTTGTGCCTTTCTTTAGTTTCCAATACAATGAGAACAATACCATCAGGATGAAAGCAAGTGAAAAAGAGCTAACAATCAGATTATTCATTTTGCAGAAACCAACCTAAAAATTCAGCAAAATGGCCAATATGAGTAATTGTTTGCATCAAATTGTCTGCTTAGGCATCATATAGAGAGTAACTGAGAGGGATATTAAATCATTTAATAAGGTGGAATCCATGTGGCGAAATGAGTAGATGTCTGATTCAGTACATTCCTGAGACCAGTTGTTTCCAGCTGAATCTGGTCCCAAGAACATAAGGAGAAGGAAGAGTTCCAATTTCCCTTTGCCCCAAAGGTATCTGCAGGCCTGAGCATCACGTTCAAACCAGGATCTCACAGAGGCACCGGAGTTCTTACCACATAGCATCTCAATGCTGTGCAACCCAACTGATGGAAAAATTAAAAATTGATAATTGTCTTTATTTTTAGTTCACATTCACTTAACTGATCTGGCATTTCCCCTTACTTATCTGACTGACTCAATTGATTAAGTAGGGTGTTATAATATACTATCCAAAATATGCCACTTTGGTATAGGAATTATTTTAAGCTAGAGACAATTGAGCAGAAGCAGATAGAAGAAAAACTGTCTGCCCTCCTCCTATTTGCCTGAAAGCAGGATATGAATTTGTAAATGTGTCTCTCTTTCCTTTACCCTAAAGGACAGAACTCTTTTTTTAAAACTCTTAGTTTGTTTTTTTTAAAGACTTTATTTATTTATTTGACAGAGGCAGAGAGAGATCACAAGTAAGCAGAGAGACAGGCAGAGAGAGAGGGGGAGGCAGACTCCCCACTGAGCAGAGAGCCCAATGTGGGGCTCGATCCTAGGACCATGAGATCATGACCTGAGCCAAAGGCAGAGGATTAACCCACTGAGCCACCCAGGCGCCCCAAGGACAGAACTCTTAATGACTAACAGAGCTCTAGACTATCAACAGCCCAGAGATGGACACCAAAAAGAATCTACATAACAAACCTCACTAAATAATTCCTATCTTCTATTCGTTTTCTCCATATGTTTACCTTCTTACAGCTTGCCACTCTAAAAGCCTAAACCCCTTTTCTTTTGTCCCTTCTCTATAAATTTGTTGTTCTTTTGTTAAGACGCTATACAAGCCCAAGTTCTGCCCACCACTTTGAGTTACTCATCACTGAGTTTTCCACGTGTATGCCTAATGCACATGTTAGTAAACTCTGGCTGTATTTAATCTGTCTTTTGTCAATTAATTTCACACTGCCAGCTACAGGACCTAAGAGGATAAAGGAATTTTTTCCTTTCTTACAATTAACATGACTAAATTATCCAAAATGGCCAAGTAATTAAATACACCAAACTGGCCAGTTGTCTTAGCAATATTTAAGCACCACTGTTAGGTAATGAGGATGTTTTGGGAGAGATGTTGTCAGATTGGCTCTCATTAGTCTTGAAGTCCAGAACAAGAACTTTCTCAAACATCCCAGGCTTTCAGGGATTGAGTCACACCAACAAAATTCTCACAAATCTGGGAGCACCTGGGTGGCTCATTTGGTTAAACATCTGACTCTTGATTTACAGTCAGGTCATGATCTCAGGGTCATGAGATCGAGGCCTGAATCAGGCTCTGTGCTCAACACAGAGTCTGCCTGATTCTCTCCCTCTTCCTTTGTCCCTCCCCC